CAGGTGTGATTGTTCTTATTTAATTAATTGTGTTATTTAGGGTTTCTTGTGTGGGAACTGTTCATCCTTTGTTCTTAGGAGGTGTGGTCTTGTTTCATCCCTAGTGTGATTCTAGGGAGTTGTTCATCCTTTGTGTGTTGGTGGTAAAAGAGGTGTTTTTCATCTTTTGATTTGTTCAGAGGAGGTGTTCATCCCTAGTGAGATTCTAGGAAAGTGTTCATCCTTAGCAGGTTTCTAAGAAGGTGATTGTCTTTTTAATTAATTTACTTTTTACTGGTTCCTCTGCTGAGTTACTAATTTGTAAACTGAATTTTAAAGATAGTGAATTGGGGTCACTCTTGTGTTAGAGATGACTGAGAACTGGATGTAGGGTTGATTATACCCGAACCAGTATAAATTACTATGTGCTGTTCTTTTTCCTTAATCACTCCTTTTCTTTTACTGCATTACTCTCCTTCTTTGGTTTCCCTATATCTATGCACTTATATATTTCCTTATATCTCTATGATTATATCGCTTTCGCTTTATTTTTGTTCAATTTGATAATTAAAATTGAATTAATAAATATTAGAGATCTTAAAATAAATTTTTAATTTGACATCTATTTTAATTTGTTCATCTATTCACCCCCTCTAGATGTCATTTGTCTAACAAGAAGATGTAGGTGTTGGTTTACAACCAAGAATACCTGCATCAAATATAAGGTTTAAGCAATATTTTCTTTGGTTCAATATTAATCCATTGGAAGATCGAATGACATGAAATCCCAAAAAGTATTTGAGAGGACCAAGATATTTGATATGAAATTAGGTATGGAGATGACTCTTAACCATCTGAATTTCGGAAAGGTCAGTACCAATTAGAACCACATCATCAACATAAATCAACAACACAATGATGGTAGAACAAAGGATTTGATGAAGAGACAATATGAAGTACTTTAAAAATAACCAAGGAGAAGAAGTTTTGAAATAAATTTGTTATTCTAGTTTCTATTGGCCTGCTTAATATCAGAGAGATTTGTGAAGCTTGCAAACATATTTGGGATAAGGGAGAGGAAGGTCAGGTGGAGGTTTCATGTAAACTTCTTCATTCAAATCATCATGAAGAAATGCATTATCCACATCAAGTTGATGGATAATCCAATGATTAACAGTGTCCAAAGCAAGGATCACCCTGACAGTGGTGAGCTTCACAACAAGAGAAAAAGTCTCAAAGTAGTTTATCCCTTTAGTTTGTGTGAACCCTTTGGCAACCAAACAAGCTTTGAATCTATCAACTGACCCATCTGCTTTATGTTTGATTCTATAAACCCATCTGCAACCAATGATTTTCTTGCCAGGAGGAAGAGAAACTAACTTTCAAGTTTGATTTCTATTAAGAGTATATTATTCAATAGTCATTGCCTCTTTTCAGCAGTTATTTTAAGCACCTTCTTTAAAGGAAGATGATTCATCTTGGGCAGAAATATTGTGACACAAAGAAATATGATTAGAAGATTATTTATCATAACAAAGAAATTGGTGTATAGGATAGGGAGTAGAAAAATGTGAGTCAGAAATAGAAGCAGAACCACAATAATAACTATCTAAGTATTGATGCCTGTTTTAACACGAGTAGAAGTCCTGATATCAAGGACTGTAATTTGAGATTGATCAGAAACAAGTGTAGTATAATTTAAATTATTTTCGTTAGTTGTGGCAGACGAAATAGGTATAATAAAATCAAACATATCATTGTTGGAAGGAGAAAGAATATCAGGAGTGATTTAGTTAAAAGAAGGCAAACTAGTTGAATATGGGAAAATTCCTTCATGAAAAATCACATACGAGAAACCACAATGGATTTTGAATGCATACCATACAAGACATATTCTTTAATTCAAGGTTTAAAACCAAGAAAGACACATTTAAGGCTTTTGGAATCCAATTTATTTGTGTCGGCAGTGGGAGAACTTAGTATGATAAGCATCCAAAAACCTTGAGGTTTGAAAAATCAAGTTGAATGGAATGAAAAAGTTGATATGGTGATTTATTTTTTAATAAATGTGTAGGCAAACGATTGTTGATATGTACATCAAGTTTGAGAGAGTAAGACCAGAAAATGTTAGGCGTGTGTGCTTGAAAAAGAAGTGTTCTACAAACATTTAAAAGGTGTTGATGCTTTCTTTTAACAATACCATTTTGTTGATGAGTGACAACACATGAAGTCTCGTGAAAAATCCCTTTAGTGTTGTAGAAATCATTGAGAAAAAAATTCCTTACCATTATCTGATCTAACTTTCTTTGACTTGCATGAAAATTGATTTTCAATTAAGAGAATAAAATTTTGAAGTGAGGTTTTAACTTCAGTTTTATTTTTGAGAAGAAGAATTCAGGTAAATCTACTATAGTCATCAACTATAGTTAAGAAATACTTGTATCCATCTAAAGGAATAATAGAGAGAGGTCCCCAACTATCAATGTGGATTAATTCAAAAAAGTAAGTTGATTTAGTGTTACTGGAAGGATATTGTAAACGTTTTTTGTTTGGCAAAGGCACATGTATCACAAGCAACGATAAAAGAGTAAGAAATATCAAGATTTTGTGAACAAATGATTTGTAAGATTTTATTAGATGGATGACCAAGTTTCATATGCCATAACTTACAAGAATTAATATTATTAACCAAAACAAATTTCTGTAAAGAATCATTTGCTTCTGATATACTTAAATTGGAGTTGTTAGTGAGATAAAACAAGTCATGATACTTCTTAGTTTCTCCAATTATCCAAAAGGTATTAGTATGCAGAATAAGGTAATGATTTTGATAGAAAGTCACAAGACAATTATTAGAACCAATTAATTTAGGAATTGAAAGTAAACAATGAAAATTAGGTACAAAAAGAGTATCATACAAAATGATATTGCCCAAGACAACAGTTCTAGAAAAGGCAGCTATAACAAAATATTTATTGGGTAAGCAAATAGAGATAGGAGAAATAGGTTTAAGATTTTGAAAAAAAGACTTAAAGGGACAAATGTGGTCAGTAGCACCACTATCTAAGATCCAAGAGGTAGAAGGAGGAAAAGGACATGATGGTTGAATTGTGCATTGATGTATGATAGCAGTGGTAGAATATGCTTGTAGTGATTGCTGAATTAAGGCAGGAATTGCTTCATATTTCTCTTTAAAGAAACCATGTGGAACATCAATTTGATCATTCTTGATGGCAGGAACGTCCATGACAGCAACAAGTACAGTATCAACCATACTAACCGATGGTTTAGGAAGAGTAGACTTAACTTTATTCTGGTGATAGTCTTGAGGAAGACCATGTTTTATCCAACAGTTATTAGAGGTCTGGTTGATTCTTTAACCGTGATCACAAAATTTATTATTGTGTTCAGTGATTTTGTTAGATCTTCCTCATCCTCGAGAATTGGTATAGCCTCCACGAAGATTTTTATTTAAGCTCTCTTGAAAAATGGCATTAGCAACAAAATCTTGAGATGTAATGGGTAAAGAACGACTAAACTCACTTTCCTGCTGAAAAACTAAGGAAAAAGTTTTGATCAAGGTAGGCATAGGTTCCAAGAGCATTATCTGATATCTAACTTGTGGATATTCATCATTAAGGCCACGAAGGAACTTAATCACAATTATCATCACGTTCCTTCTAGATCTTGAGGATTAAGCCACATGTGTAGGGAGAAGTGCATTCTCAAGTAATAACGGTCCAATACAAAGAGAGCTCTTTCCAAATAATTTGAAGATGAGTATAGTATTAGGAAATAGTGGAATCACCTTGTCTGTAGTTTTGAAGATCTTCTTGAAGATTTGCAGTCTAAAACTTATCATCATGAGAAAATCTTTGAAGAAGATCGTTCCATATGTCAGTCGCTGAATCCATCCACATAACAGATTGCTTAATATCGGTGGTCATAGAACGAGTAAGCTAAACTATCACCATTTTGTTGTAGCGTCTCTAAGTTTTATACAAGAGATCTGTTGATGGTGGACAGAAAAGAATACCAAAAACAAACTTCTCTTTGTTCTTTGTTGCAAGAGCAACAATAATATAATATTTCCATTGCTGATAATTATTTTCAACAAGGGGTGGGAAAATAAGAACAACAATTGAATTTTCTCCAGGATGAAGAATGAGAAGAATAGTAAGATTGATGAAATGATTAAAAGGAGATGTTACGAGGGGAAGGAAGAAAGAAGAGAAAATGCAGAATATGTTTAAACCGATACCATGCTAATGTATTAAAGAAGGAAATATGAAAAACAGAAATTATATTCATATGTGTTAATACATCCATCGTTTTACACGAAGACATTAAAGCTAACAGTTAATATAATGAATAAAATAAAATAAAATAATTTGTTATAACAGTAAAATGAAAAATAGAAAATATAAGTTGTATATATGTATCATGTGTTTTTAAAACATAATTTATTAAACTTTCGCGACCACTTTTATCTCGTAACCATTTAAAATTAAAGTGAAATAGGATTAGTGGAGAAATGCATGTGTCCATTAGCATATGTGTATATGATTTTTTTTCAACGGTTTTGATTTGGTGACCTAATTGGAAAAATTCAAACTACCACCATTCCATTTCTTCTGGACTAAGGCAAAATGCCTTTATGTTTACTTTTCAACTTAGGTATCTTTTTTAGTCTAGAATAAAACTGTTTTGTTTTACGTGTGATTGCACGGGTCCTTTAATTTTGAAAAAGGTATACTACAGTGTAGAGAGTAAACGAAAAAAAGAAAGAAAGAAAGCAAAAAATGTAGTACAATACAATGCATTTGAGAAAAAAAAGAAGAAGATCAGGTGTACATTTTTGTTTTCTTCCATTTTTAGTTGTTCCTTAGGTTAGTTTGAGAAAATTGGAGGAGTTTGAGTCTAATTTACTCAATAAACAATCATACGTAAATAAATGATGTTTGAATTGGAGTAAAAATGGAGACGAAAGCATGATAACTCTATCACTGGACATGCGAAACCTCTCTTTCTGGCTTGGTTTTCCACATGTCTTACAAGCAAATCCGACAAGGAGAAAGAATTGCAAAAGTCCAGACCTACTTGTATTATTAAGACGTTAATAATTGCCAGCTTTTGCCAGCTCCAAGTTCGTCATTAAAATATAATTAAAAAAATACACACACAAACATTAGTGAAGACTTTGCCCCTTATAGTCCGAAAAATGACAACGGGATACATTGGATTTCCACATTTTGTCACATGCTCGTCTTTTTCCTTTCCTGCCACGTGTATTGTTCTGTATCATGGTCCCTCTGGTTCCAGCTGCCCTACCTCCCTCTACTCCTCTACCATCATCATCATCTCATCTTCTCCACACCACTCTACCACTACAACTACAATCAAACATGCATCATACCCTATTTTTCTTTTCCAATATTTTTCTCTTTTCTTCTATTTTATTCCCATTTGAGTTGAGTAGTTGTTTTCCATTTCCAACGGTTACCTTAAATTATTCTTTGTTCCCTTCTACCTCATTACAACTAAGTATTATATCTAAACATTAATAATAGTGAAAGGCTCATGTTATCTGTTTCTCAATCATATAATCTAAAATTACCGAATAAAATGATGTTGCCACTAGGAATAGAGAGAGAAAGGGTCAAAAGAAAAATAAGTGGACCTTTTTATCTAGTGGAGGGTTTTTGAAGAAGTAAGCGTAGGAATAATTTGTATTTTCATTTTTTTATTAATATTAGTTAAGAAAAAAAGTTGTATCGAAGAAAGGACAAGACACGAGTGGCCTCAACGCGGGTAAAGTACCCCGCGTTTTGGACTGATTTACTTCTACAAGACCAAACCCATCAAACGCACTAAAAAGCACACACGTGTGAGGTCTAGATCAGTTGTCAAAAGATAAGGATACTCTAGTAAAATGGTAGAACGGCTTTATGAGTTGTTGGAAAGTTATGGTGTTTCGGAAGAAGGAAAAAGCAAGAATGATTATACGTTAAAACCATGCCATTAGAAATTAAAAAGAAAAAAAGTTAACGCGGAAGGGAGTGGGGAGAGAGAAAGAACAGGAAAATGGGTGGAAAACCGCCGTACAGAGGGGTGGCGGAACACAGCGACTGGTCACTGACCCATGCAACTGACACGTGTCCTGACGGAAGGGCGTGGAGGTCATATTGAACGACTGCAATGGACAAAAAGGCAAAGCGGGTATACGCATACAGATTCACAAAAATCATAGTGGCCAATGTAAAATTCCCAATTGGCCACAACATCCACATCTGCCAGCTCTTATTTTCCATAATTACACAAACAGAACAAAAAATGTAACAGAGGCGGAAGAAAATTCAAAGGAAATAATAATAATAAAAAAACAGCAATGGTGTGTTAAGTGTTGACCCATTATTATTACTGACATCACACCGCCCTGGGAGGAGCCAGCAAGAACATATATAAATATGTAGTAAGGTTGGAAAAAAATATTTGATAATTGTGTGTGCACATATAGAAGGAAATTAAATAAAGACATTGGAGTTGGAGGAATCTTGGAGCATTATTGATGCATTAATCGCCGCTGTCCTTTAACGCCTTCCAAGTCCCCCACTTCATATCTTCCCTCTTTTATATATTCTCTTCCCTTCTTATCTTCCACTGCTTAACTCTCTACTCTCTCTCTCTCTCACGCGCACACGAAAGCTTCGGTTTTTCTGTTTGTGTTCTCTCTCTTGAGAAGATGGGTTCAGGTGCAGTACAATTGTTTCTGATCTTGGGGCTTCTGGCTACCTCGTGCATAGCACAAGCCCCAGGTGGTGCACCCGCACAGCCTCCCTCAACCACCCCACCACCACCACCCATATCAGCACCAGCACCAGCTCCCACCACCCCTGCGGCTCCTCCACCGCGTACACCAACTCCTACACCTACACCCACACCAGCTGCTCCCGCCCCTACTCCAACTTCGTCTCCTCCTCCTTCACCTACCCCATCTCAGGCGCCGACCCCTTCTTCTTCCTCTCCACCAGCACCAAGTACACCCAACACACCTGCATCTGCACCTTCACCCTCAGGTGCCGCCAACACACCACCCCCACCCTCCGCCGCATTCTCGGTTAGCAAGGCCTTCGTTGCTGGCTCTGCCCTCGCGGGAACCTTCGTGGCGATGGTTTTGGCTTAAAAACAGGCTGATGGTTCGGATTCGTCCACGTTTTTTTATCCTCTGGCTTGTTGAGTAGCGTTTTTTTTCTTTTTCTTTTTTTCTCGGGTTTTATGTGTTTTCCTTAGCTTTGTTCGTCGTTGATGTGTTTGTTCATTCGATATCTGGGAGGATGGCTGTTGATGATGATGATGGTATTCATGATTATGATGATTATTTGGTGATTCATTGTTTTGGTGTTCACACGTGTATGTAGATGACCTTGATCATTTCATTGTACATCTAATAATTGAAAGAATAAAACAGTTTGGCATTCTTTTTACTTACAATGTTGTTCGTGGTTAATGTGCAAAATCCTCTTGTTCCCCTTTGTCAGAGCTATCAACTCCTTCAAGATGCAAAGTTACTTGCTTTTGTTGTTTGTGATCCACCACACATCTCATTGTGGAATATATGCGTAATTATTTGAACTTATACACATTATACTCCACTCTTTTTTTCAAAACGGGTGCTTTATTTGGACGATAGATATCCTGGCACGTAAGTTCCAGGATTTTTATTTGAAAACAAAATGTAAATACGAAAAGATCTTTTTAGCCTTTTCATTATGACCGCATATCCACGAGGAAGCATATATGGTTGTTATTCCTTAAAATGAAGTTTCAGCCTCAAATCTCACTTTCTAACATTTTACAAAATCGATTCAAGCTTGGCCAAGATGGTACATTTTACTTATTTTTCATTCCCGTGTAAAAGAAAAAGTTTGATACATCAGTTGATGTGTAGATTAGAGCTTAAAATAACTCTCCCATTGTCTTCTACTCCGAATTAAAAGTATAGTCTTCAGCTATTTGTTTGTTAAAGAAGATTCCTTAAAATTAGAATGGCATGATGTAGTCCATGTGACAGTATTGATGATGAAAGAGGGTTGTTTTCTGAGGTAGAGAACGTGGCTTTCGTCTTCTTTTCCTTTCAATGTTGGGGAGATTTGTTTAATAGGAAATTCACACGAGAAATTTTGGAAAATATAGGAAGAGTATTATATTTATTATGTGAAAGTGGGAAGCACGTAGTAGGCAGGTAGATGCGTCCAACAAGACTATGTATTATTGCAAGGAAGGTGGATCTGGTTAGCAATTGGTTAAACTACTAACCCCTCCACTCACTTTACTATTGGACTAGATCCACGTGTTTCTCATACAAATTTCTAGGGTCAAAATTATCAAGTTTCTCACCCTCTATTAACCTTTGAAATTTTTTTTTAATGTAGTTATTTTAAAACAATTTACCTCTTTTTTGGTTGTCTAAGATAAGTAATTAGTTAAATTAGCATCTTTTTAATCCACGTCAGTTTTTGCTTTTTGTAAATTGACAGATTTAAAAAACTTATTGAATAATAATAAAAAATAACTCAATGCATTAACAAATCCAACAAATTTGGAAATTCTAGTGTTTTTTTTTTTTTGGGTAGCGAGTGGGGCTGGAAATAATAATATTAAAAGTCACTTTTTACAATCCTTTTAAAAATGACCAACTATTAGAAACAAAAATTCTGAAAGCATCCAGGATTATATATTCTGTATAAAGATAACAATTTTTCCCTAAAAATCAACTTTACTTTTACTTTAATTTCTTTTTCAAAAGCTGATGGTTCCTCCAACTTTCATTGGTCACAGAAAACACAAAAAAAAAGTCTCCTAATAAATAACAATATTCATAAAGCATGCAATCGCGTTATCCAAAAAAAAAAAAACTAAATTATTTTCTTGATTGTTCTTTTCATCTGATTTTGTCATTTTATTCTTAAAAAATAAATTTATTTATTTAAAGGGTGTGTAAGGTAGCACACAAGTGTAGGAGAAAAGAAGGAAGAATCTTAGAAAATGTTTTGGAAAAGACACCTTTAAAGATTTTGTATGTTGTATAATGGAAAAATGATTCTCTCACAAACAAAATATAAGATAGAAATAGCAAAAACTAGGTGGGAATAATAGAGCCCAACTAAACTTGGTAGCTGAGTCCATAATACAAACCTTGGACTTGGACTTTACAGTTTAAAATATTGGTCTAAAGAGGGAAATAACCTGAAATCTAAAACGAGTTCTACGGCCCAGAAATAAAACGAAACGAATTTAAAAACCACTCTGAATTACCTGTTAAAATACGTGAATTTATATTATCTATATTAAATATAAAAAAAATCGTCTAAAAAATATAAATTTAACATAAATTTTTGTCATATAAAATAAAAAATAAATACAGTTTTACATGACATGAGGCAAAGTTGGATTTTGAGCAGTAGGGTAGATGTGGTTGAAGTTGAAGAGATTGTAGAAGAACTATAAACCTGGAGTTACATGTTTCACAGGAGTAGACAGACCAGGGTGGCCTTTTATTTCAAGAATTAAAATATAATTTTTTATTTTGTAATTAATAAAATAAAATTATAAAAAATATATTAATATAAAGCAATAAGATTAAAAGTTTTCAACATGTTAAAGTAATTTATTTTTAAAATTTAAAAATATAAAAATATTAAATAATTATTTAAATTATGATGACAGTATATAATTTATTTATGATAAAATAAATATTTAATTTAAAATTATTTTATCATAATAAATCAGTTACTCTAATTAAAAAGAATAAAATATATAAGTTAAATTTATATTTTTATTTTGTAATTTAATATATTAAATTATTATGATTAGTTAAATTAAATACTTTTAAAAATTATTTAATAAAAATACTTTAAACTAAATATTTAATTATTTTATAAGTTGATTTTAAAATATTAATATATTTTTACTAAATTATAATATAATATTCTTAATAAAATAGTAAGACACTGGAGAAAAAGAGAAGAATAAGAGACTCTAAAAGGAGAAAAGAAAAATAATAAATAAATGATGGAAAATAAAAAAAATAAAAGAGACTTAATGAGGTTAGATGAATGACCGGAGAAAAAAATTAAATAAATGATTTTGTTAGAAAATTTTATTTTTTATAGTTAAATTTTGTGTGTAAATAGTAAATAAATTCATTTAAAAATATAAATTAATAAATATTTTATTTAAATAATTTTTTTAAAAATATATTATTGATTATATTGATTTAAGTAAAGAATAATTTTTTATTATTTTTATTTATTATTTTACATTCAAAGCATAAATTTGAGAAACATATTTAACAAAAAAAGAAAAAAATTTAATATAAATATAAATTATTATTGTTCTCTTTAATAATACCAACAGATAAAAGAAATTATATATATATATATATATATATATAATATTTTAAATAAATTTATCATAACTAATATAAACACACGCAATAAAGAAATTGCGGTCCACATTTTTTATAATTAATTTTAAAAATATATTTTTAAATTTTGTTTTATTTTCTCTCTCCACTATTTTAATATACACTATTTTCTCTACTAATTACTATCAAATTTTTTTCTCCCATATATTTTTCTATTTTTTAAATATATAAATTATAATAATAATTTTTTAAAATTATGATATTTTTATTTTTCTTCCTTAATGACATCAAAGAGTAGTTAATGAATTTCCATTTTATATAATTATAATATTTAAAATAAGTTTATTATAACTAGCAAACCTATATTTAACTCATAAGTGTCTACATTTTTTTTAATTTTTTAATTTTTTTTTAAATATTATTTTGTTTTCTCTTTATTTTTTTAAATTTATCTATTATTTTATCGACTATTTATTATCATGTTTTTTTCTCATATAATTTATTATTTTTTAAATATACAAATTATAATAAATATTTTTTTAAACTATAAAATAAAATATTATTATTTATAATCATAGATAATTAGAGGAAATTATATTGATACTTCTTAATCAATACAATATTAATTAATCAGTAGAAATATAGGTGTCAGACAATAAAATGTCTATATGACAACGTTTTTTAAACAAGTGTTAGAAACAATTATAAATATTATTAATATTTTGAAAAGTTAAAAAATAATTATACAATATAAAAGTTAAAACAAAAAATCTATATCGAAATGCAGATAATAACATTTATATTAATTAGAAAAATAATTGTAATAATTATTTCAAAAAGCATATAAGATGAAAGATAAAAATAAAAAAATATATATGTAAAAGAAAACAGTTACACAATCATTCTCTTTATTAATAGTTATGTAATATGTTTAATGCATTTGTAAAAATAACAAAAAAAGAAAAAAGAAGAAGGAGGAGGTATATGCCTAAGAAAAGTTACGGAATAAGTTAAATAAATAATAAATTTGTATTTAAAATTGTACATTATTTTATAAAAAAGAAAAAAAATTACATTTTGATATTACTAAAATTATTATCATGTAAAATAAAATATTATTATTTGTAATTATTGAGAATCTAATTATACGTTAAAATTTTACATAAAATATAAATAAAAAATTAGGTAATTTGGGATGTTCTTGCCTCATTATTTTGTTTTTCCTCTAAAAATGAGATAAGTAAAAATGAGATAAGTGCTTAAATCATTTTGATGTAAAAATCTTAAACAATCCTAAATAATTAGTTAATTTATGTATTTTTTTATTTAGATTTATATATTATAATATTTATTAATAAATTTTTTATCAATTAATATTTTTATAAAAATTAAATTAATATATTAATTAAATAATTAATTACAATTTTATGTAAAATTAATTATTTTAGCTAATAATACACAATCATATTTTAATTTAAAAATAATATTAAATATATGATATTATATGTTGGTGCTTATTTTTCTTGTTATAAAAGAAACATTATGTTATGAATATCTTATAAATCATCTCAAATCTCTTTATTTTTTTCTACTAATGCATTGCATAGTAGTTGAGTTATTTTATTTTCGAGAGAAAATATTATTATTATTTTCTCCTTAGATTTAAAGAGACTATTGTAATTTCTTTTAGTAGTAAAATTCTATTATCGGTTTTGTCTATTGTCGATTTTGTTTCTCTTTTCACATCTTTTATTTTA